CTCAGTTGGTAGAGCGATGGGCTTGTAACCCAGAGGTCGCCGGTTCGAATCCGACTCAGTCTCAACTTTTCCTGTTCACTAAAATATACTTACCTACGGTGATTAACATATATAAAATTTATAAATGCCATATCGTGATGATTAACATACGGCTGAAGAAGACATGTTACTGTCGAAATGGTATACAAATTTGGCGTGGCTTTGGCGAGTGGCCATGTGGGTGTGCAGAAATGGTTGTGACTGGTTGGGTTCGAATATACCATCGGGCTGATAGCTCAGTTGGTAGAGCGATGGGCTTGTAACCCAGAGGTCGCCGGTTCGAATCCGACTCAGTCTCAACTTTTCCTGTTCACTAAAATGTACTTACCTATACGGTGATTAACATATATAAAATTTATAAATGCCATATCGTGATGATTAACTATATATATATATATATATATATATATATATATATATATATATATATATATATATATATATATATATATATATATATATATATATATATATATATATATATATATATATATATATATATATATATATGTATATATAGTACAATCTGCAGACATGCATGTTTCGGCGTTCAACGCATCGTCAGTGCAGTTTGGTACACGTCTAGATATGCGAGACACACGTATTTATACCCCATGAACTTGCTCTCACTAAGGCATGTGGTACAACACGGTGACTCAACGCATCCAGACATGCGCAGAGCGTAATGGGGCCAGAGTGCTCAAACGACCACAAGGGAAGTGAGCTTTGCATTATCGCTAATAGACACCCATTAACAACTCCGCGGAGTGCTCAACAACACCGAAGTGAAGGAGCGTAATAGTACAATCTGCAGACATGCATGTTTCGGCGTTCAACGCCTCGTCAGTGCAGCTTGGTACACGTCTAGATACGTGAGACACTCGTATTTATACCCCATGAACTTGCTCTCACCAAGGCATCTGGTACAACACGGTGACTCAACGCATCCAGACATGCGCAGAGCGTAATGGGGCCAGAGTGCTCAAACGACCACAAGGGAAGTGAGCTTTGCATTATATATATATATATATATATATATATATATATATATATATATATATATATATATATATATATATATATATATATATATATATAATGTGTGTTTTATATTGGGCCAATAATCTGTCAACATTTAAACCAAACTTGCCTTGCAATTCACGATTTCCTGCAATGTATCGCATAAACCATAGCCACCCCCTTCCCCCGTGATTAGGTAATGAACATTACACTTCGCTAATGTTTTCCTTTTCCCGGGTGAAAATAGCCGAGCGGAATTAATACCCTTGTCCCGCGTTTGCGCCCGAAACGGTGCGAAGCACCGTTGGTTCGGCAAATTTTGCCGTGAGGAAATCGGTAGCAACCAAACTTGAGAATTCCATATGACAATAATTCCTAGGTTTCCGGAAACATTCCTTTACAATTACTTCATATGTCCGGCACGTTGTATCTGTCCATTTATGGTACAAATCGTTGATGCTCGGAGACTTCGTAATAACTTCGGCTAATATTCTGCCACATCTGTCTATCGTCCTACCACGCGAAATTTACGTACCCTTATATATACGGCTACTTTGAAGTAGCCACAAAATCGTGAAACGTTTGAGATATAGGGCTTGAAAATGCCGGGAAAGCATTTGTATCAATGATGACGGGCAAAACTAATGGCAAACAAATTATACAAGTTGACGTCTGAACAAGCTCTCCAGGAAGGGTGAACCAAGACTCTCCGACGAAAATATCTAAATCGGCATTACTCTCAAGGCTAGCAACACGACAATCCATGGTTTACTGTAATTAAATTAAACAATTAAAATAAATCACTACAGGTATCTTACAGCAATTCAAAACCATGGCAAGTGTTCTTTTAAGAATTAAAGTAGTAATAAGCTTAAACAACGGCATAATTTATGTTTGACGGCAGCAATATTGTCTATTTATAAATGTCAAGCGAAGTACTGGATCCAAATGTACTGATTTTCATACAAAATTCGCCGGTGTTTCCCAGAGCCTCAGCAAGCCTCCGCATGCAGAGGATTGCAGGCTCAGGGTTCGACATTGTATATTTTCAAGAATTATTTGGATTAAAAAGCAATTGGGACAGTTACAGGTGTTTAATGGATGATTGAGAAAAAGATCTCTCAAATGCTCTTGGCAAACATTTAAGCATATAGACCATGTGCTCATGACTCCTAAATGCAAATGGCGATAAAAATATACAAAAAAATGGTAACATCCTCTTCTATATTATCTTTCTGATCTTGGCCCGAATGAAACCCCATCACTAACCCTGCATGCGACAAAAAAGCTTCATATACGATTAATGGGCACAAACATTCTCACGCTGTAATATATAATTTGCAAAGATTCTGTATTTTATTGACATATTGCCAGACACATCGCATCGAAAATTATCTCCCTATTTACCCCGCATATTGAGGGCACTACGTCATCACAAAGCTAGACCAGCAAGCTCATTGTTGATTTAGCAAATGTAAAACATTGTCCGTGTTGATATACAGTTATATCAACAGGAGTGGAAATTGTGTGGAACGGAGGCGTAGTGTTTTCACCCAATTTCGAGTTTTCCCAATTTCCAGGAGCGTTGATATAACTATATATCAATAGGGAAAAAATGTTTTATATTTGGTTTATAATATAGCACAAAGAAAGATAAAGAAAGAAATTCTCCGACGTTTCCGTGTTGACATTGAGTTATATATATCAACACGGCTCTTAGCCAATCAGCGTTCAGAATTTACAAATGCTATATTATAAAACTATCTAACTGATAACTTTCCTTGAAAACTTTCCCTGAAAGCCTTTGAATGGCAGCTGAGTAACTGTGTTACACGAAACAATCAGTTGACAACCTTGAAAGCATTGCTGGCAACCTAAATTGACTTGACCCGTCCTGCCTAAAAGTCCTGGGCAGTGGCGGGCCCTATATAGCAAAGTCCTAATTTGTTTTTGCATTCGGCGAACGAGGAAAAGTTTAATCCAGCGCTGACAAAATGCGGGGTAAATAGGGTACTTGTTATTTATATTCATCATTTCCGAGAATGATTCATTATTTAATTCATCATTAATTCATTATTCATAATTGAATAATGGGAGACCGATAAGTGGTCAAAGGGGTCGCAAAACGCAATTTTACCAAAGTTTGTTATATTAATGTTTGTTATATTACAAGTGCCAAAAGAACTACTGCATTATACACATATAGCCTCGACTTAATTTTTTTAAACAGACAGAAACTTCAAAAATTTCATAGACCTTATTCATAAATCGTGATGAGGCCTCGTATCCTAGGAAACGGGGAAAAACGCGGGAAAATTGACAAAATGTTTTTTTTCCTGTCGGTTATGGCAGCTTTTTTTCGTGAATATTACGGCTTTTTTCGAAAATAATATCTACAAAACTGATCTTGAAAGTTGAAAAAATACTTCAGAGAAAATATAACATGATATTTTCGATTGACTCCAGCAAAAGATGCTGGAGTCAATCGAAAAAGGAAACCTTTGACTTTGTATTATTGCCAAGTTTGTATGGGAAAAACAAACAACCAACAAGGCTACAAAAGTCTATATAACACCAAAATCGTAAGAAATATGAAACTATTGTTGAAGAAATAGGATATTATACAGCTCACTCAGGTAATGTGGCCTTCATTTTTTAAACTTGTAAATGTAAGCTGCTTCCAGAATGTTATCGAGCCACAGGCACAGCCATATATAGTTCATATTTTTCCGTACGAATCAATAACATTTGACGTTCTCTTGTGATTTTTGACTGTTGTTTTCTTTCATATTTATGTCAAATTCGAAAAATTATACTTTCATTCCATAGTTGTCTTGACTTTTCACGGAATAACCTTTATATTGACGTTAGAATCTCAGTAAAATACTGTCGCTTTTGGATAAACACCATCGGATCGCTACGTTGTCATTTTTCCTACACAAAAACGGGAGAAAAACCGGTCGCTTTTATAATATACTCGTTTACCGCTTTCGTTGTGGGCACAAAGTCTTAAATTACACACAAAAATCGTTATAAATCGCAAAAAGCAACAAGAAACAAGCCGTTAAAGTCGACCCAATAGTATCTGAATTTGGCTTGTCAAGCAGTTTTCGCTTGTTTTCCCGCGTTTTGTTCCCGTATCCTAGGATACGAGGCCTTGTCACGATTTATGAATAAGGTCTGTAAGACTGAACAAAACTAGAAAGAACTCAAAGAATATAGTCGAGGTCACAGAACAAAGACCTTACAGACGGCCGACTCAGCCAAAAAACCCGTTACTATCGCCACGCCATCAAAATGCACTCGCCATGTTCCCAGTCAGTGCGCTTACGATACGCATTCACACCACACCCCCAAAACGTCAGCCATTTTGAATATTCTCATGGGGTAAATGCCTCTCATTAGCGCACTGGCTAGGAACATGGCGACAGCATTGCAACTGTTACGCCAAAATCATAGGCAACACCAAGAAGTCAGCCTTCTGTAAGATCTCTATTATGTGTTGAGGCTATGCGTGTATTATGCTACGTTCCCGTAATTACGAAAATGGCCTATATATATATATATGTATAGGTTATTTTGAGACAACGAGAGACTTCCCCGAGGTGCCTCAAAATAACGTACTTATTTTTCACATTGCGAGGTCGCGTTAATGAGCCAGAATAGAAATAATTCTTAATGCCATATTGCTTCGTGATCTTGTTTTTTTCTCATTTTTTTGTGCTGCAAAGACATTGCAAGTGAATATTAGAGGGGAATTGATTACAGGGGAATATTGAATATATTCCCCAATAAGAACAAAGGAAACCGAGCAGAGTGAAAAATAATGTTTATTGTTATATAGCTAGCGTGAACACCAAACGTGATTGGCTGATTTGTGGTCACGTGACTTCAGATAAATGCAATGTTTCCCGCCGGACAACAAGTGAAAAATTGTTGCCCGCCCCGACCGGCCGCGTACATAAATAAACAAAATGGAGGCACAACTCAGATAATTAGAAACTACGATTTTCCAAGTTTGTGTTCAAATAAAGAATATAAAAGAGAAGAAAAATACACAACAGGCAACAGGATATGCTGCTGAAACCGTTTAAGTAGGTTCTTTTAATTTTAAACTCGTTTACACTATAGAGTTTTTGTCACGAAATACAATTGTTGTATGAATGTTGTTGAAGTTGATTTTCGTTCGTCGCTATATAACAAAACACTTAATGCCTGTTCCCTCGGGAAATAGTTAGTTTTGCTTTCCCTCGAATCTTAATGTTTCCCTCGACTTCGTCTCGGGAAACATTGAGATTCTCGGGAAAACAAAACTAACTATTTCCCTCGGGAGCAGACATTAAGTGTATAGTATAATTACATAGGTGATTATTGAAAATTCTCCACGCTGATTGTTTGCCGTGGAGGAGATTATAACGCGATAATTACCCGATTCTCTAAATGACGGCCGAAGCTGTTTTGTCAACTAAATGACGAAGAAATGTGCATTTTTTCCGAATAACCACCTAAGAAATTATACTAAAACAATTATTCATCTCAGGCTCGGTGATTATCATGAATAAAAACCTCGACTTCGTCTTGGTTTTTATTTACCGATAATCACCTTGCCTTCGGCAAATAATTGTTAAATAATACACGTCTTTCTCACTTGTCTCAACACACGTTGTACCTTAACCAGATACTAATCCTGGATTATTTTTCAATCGATTAGTTATGTGATGCATCTTTACCAATTATTCTTCTAAACTGGCGCTGTTAAAAAATCAACATATAACCAAAAATTAGATGCATGTACGAAGAAAGTTGACAGTGACACTCAAGCCCGTGTTTCCACTAGGCGAATATTTTCGCGCGAAGCCACTTTTCCCTAAAAAACAGTGAACTCCGTATATATCTGGAGTAAAAACTTACATTAGTTCACTTAAAAAGTGAAGCCAAATGTGAAGCCAAAGGTGGTAACCACGTCCAGAAGCCCTGGGTACGAGGTGGCCAAGATGGGGAAAATTGACGTCCAATACCAGTCCCTTTCTATTGGTTTTGTCCGAGCGGTTGGACACGAAGCTGCATGGAGTGTGCCTAAATTTCGTGTTTTGACTTCGATTTAAAGAATGTTACGGTTTTATGAACTGATAACTTGATTAGCGATATGATCCGTTACAAAAACTAGAATTTGCTCGGAATAATGTTATTAAAACTGTTTACAAGCTACATATATTTTAGACGTCAATTTCCATCATCTCGGTTTCACATTTTCCCTTGTTTTTTACGTTCCCCTTGCTTCTCTGCCTAATAACTAAAGTTCCTGGTCCAGATATATATAGAGCTCACTGGGAAAGTCGCGTCACGCGAACAAATTCGTCTAGTGGAAAACGGGCTTCAGTGTATTAAGAGTCAATATCAGATTTCACTTAATTTACAACACTTTATAGTAGTGATAAAGGAGAATGAGAGGTCATTTAAAACCTTTGTTGAAACAATGTCTTCATTTCAAGATTTAAAATCATCAATTTTTAAAATCTCTTTTTGTTTACGCTTACTTTCGCAGCAATTCAATTTCCTCATCTTTTCTTGCAGTTCAATTTCATCATCATCGCAAGAATTGGACGTACTCGCTTCTTCGCAGTGACCAACTTCTGTAAACAACACGATACCCACGGTGAAATCCCATTGTTTGAGAAATGAATTTGTAACATAGGAATAGCTGAAATCTACAATCTTTGGCAAAAACTATGGGACATGTGCTGTGATTTTACCCAATTTGAAAAGCGTAGCGCCACCTGTTCCCCCAGTTCAATGAAGGAGTCGATAAAAATCTGATGTCTGCTTGGAAGACGCCAACATTGAAACGGGTGGGGGGAAGGAGGGTGGAAAATGTATCAAGAAATAGTATAATACATCGGAATGCATGTGAACATTTTGAATTTATCATAATAATAAATTGCGGCACCTAACACTAACCCCAACCCCAACCCTAACTAATCACTACCCACTAACTTTTTAAACTTTTTAAACTTTTTTGAAAATCTAACTTTTTAAAACTTTCTTAAAACTTTTTTTAAAAGCTAAAGAAGGCTTCTTATTCTTCAAAATATTAGCTATGATAAATGAGATGTCATTTTAAAACTTCAAGTTTCAAATGCTCGCAGTTTGCTGGAAGAAACTGTTCGGACGGGAAACTTGGTCTTCATTTCTGCATTTCAACTAGAACATGCTTTTTTAATTTTTCCGTTTATCTATACTTACTTTCGTTGCAGTTTAATTTTCTCTCCTTTCCAGTGATGGCGTCGCAGAAATTGGTCCCAACCAAACAATTCCCACCTATGCTGGGTATGACATAGCCGAAGTATGCTTCATCCACACGAGAGTAAAGAAGCGACGTTTTCGTCCACTCGCAGTGATCAGCTTTCACTTTCTCTAAGTTACTGTGACTGATTAATGTGTCACAAAATTTTGAACGAGACATCTTTGCCCCACCCAGTTTTGCAAATAACATCACGCAGTTAACGAAAACGCAATCCTCGAGAGATGAATTTGTGAAATCGCAATGGCTGAAATCTGATCCAGTAAGGTCTGAATTTTGGAGGTCAGGAACTTTCCCTGGTGAGTGTGGTCGATAGACGGGATAAACAAGATTATACTCAAAAAGGCATAACTTTTTCCTCAAAAAATTTGCTAATGAGAGCTGGCTACCAATGAAAGAGTTCAAAACCATTGGAGATTGCACCAAAATGTGTATTGGACGGTAACGGCGATTTTCTTCTCGCGATTCACTGTATTGAGAATCGATAGCAGATTCACAGAAGTATTGCCCACTGGTGCAATGTTCATAGTTGGAATTCACGGGCGTGTGGATTTTATCCTTGGCAGGGATCTCTGGTACTTTTCGATCTTCTTCATCTCTACTAACGTACGTCGTTAACTCAAGAAACTGCCCGCGATAACCATATTTCTTTATGTCACAGGCATCATTTGGTTTAACCTTGTACATAAATTCCGTGCGATCCGTTTCGACAATCGTTTGTTGCAAACCACACTTTCGAAACACATCTGGAGCAGACCACTTATCACCATTCTTCGTTTGTAATCTTTTCTTCGCTATTTTGCCATCTTGAAGCACCTTCTTGATTAAAGTGTTTCTGTCAAATATATCGTCTCTCGTCCACTCTGACATCATCAAATCGACAGCACATTGTGCCAAAATATTAATTTGCGTTCTATCTTTCAATTCAACTACTTGGTACTCGAACATGCAAGATAATTCCTTGGCAACATCCATGATGATGCAGTTTAGATGAGAATGGATGTAGATTTCCACTTTTTTATCCAGTTTTTTGGCCTTTGATTTCTTCATTTTTTCATCAACTTTCGTGAAAGTGAAGGTCGCACCAGCTATAGTCGATGCAACAATGGAACCAATACCAAAACTTCCGATACTTAATGCTATTGTTGCTCCGACACAGAGGCCAAGGAGAACAGATGTCACCGTTCCTGCGTCGTCTACTGCCATTGCGGTTGCCCCGACGTCGGGATTTTGTATCTGGTCCTTGTTAATCCCCAATTTTTTTGGGAATATGTTTTCAATCTCCTTTTCGAATTCTTTGCATAATCTTTTATTGTCTCTGATGTCCTGAATATATAAAAACAAGTCGAAAAAACATCATCATTTTAAATGTGTTTTGCTTCGCGAAATGTCGGAGAGTGCTCAGCACTAGTATATCCTTTTGAATTCAATGCGAAAGCTCGACTAGCTTAAGAGATTAGCACGGGGTTATATAACACAAGGTAAGTTACCTTGGTTTGAGAAGTTAGAGGACCGTTGTGAGCGACTCCTTGGGCAGATGAAACGCCAACTTCTGTAATAAAATATAACATTTGTTCTCGAAATATAGTATTCTATTGATTCCAACATTAAAAACATATTACGGTAATTAACAATTCTTAGTTGTGTAGCTTAAAGAAGATCTGAAACATATTATTCGGGAATGTTCAGGGACCGAAAATTCCCAGAAACAAACATTATATCTGGTAATGTGTTACATCTCTGAACAGTGCTTTCTTTACCTGGCTTTGGTGCGATTGTGGACGAAGTTTCATTAACAGGTTCATTGTCATTGTTCACCTACAGAACAAATAAAAAAATTAAATATTGAAGCACAACAAATAACCGAACAGGTCAATGTGAACTGTTCAATCTAATAGTGAACTTCTAGTCAAATTGATAAATCTAATCAATACACGTAAGTTTCCCAGTTAGTGGAGGGAGGGAGCTTAATAAAAATTTCTTCCAACAAAAAAGGAGACTTTTAGTAAGGAGGACTCATTGGAGGAGGAGAATTTATAGTAACGAAATGTATGAAATCGTTAGATTCAAAATCTGCAGTACGTCGAGCTACCTGAACTGATCTGGTTTCAGCAATATGGACCGGTGCCTTCGCACGACAATCTCCTTCTGTATTATGATTTTCGCCATTAATGCACTCTCTATCCTTTAAGAAACGCATGTATTTGCCTCTCAAATCAATATCATCATCTGTGTTGTTGTCCAGTACCGACTCTATCTCAGGATCTGAATTAAATCTATAAAGAATAATTGAGAGATTATAAGATTGACGTTTACGGCAGACCGCTAACCGGAAACGGCAAACTTGAAGTCATATTTTGAGGCCACCTGTTAGCTGTTGAAAATTAGAACAATTTGTGCGCTAAAATTGAAGTATGATTAAGCTAAAAACGGGCGAAACCTTCGAAAACCTGCAGAACTTACCTTCAAATGCGATTTGAAGTTTGGCATTTGCAGTTAGCAGTCTGCCGTAAACGTCAATCTTAACCTATTCACAATTCGAAAGCACTAGTAGGTAGTTATAGGGCCTTTTTATGATACTCAACCAGGCTGGACGGGAGGTTTCTATTCCGCTTAGCCGGGAAACTCGTCTGGAGAGACGGCATGCTTTAATGAACAAAACATTTTTCATAAAAAGACATTTACCCGCGCTCAGTAGGCAACGTAGGCAACGGTTCATCCCACCTAACCGAGATAGTGTGTTTATATGATTACATACACAGTAGTTGCCGGGATATAAGTCATGGGATCATATAAGCACTCACTCAATTACATACCAACAGGCCCTACTTAGTTTGGGTCCTTTGTGTTTGATAACTCATGCTTATACGATTTTTGTGCTGCTTTCACAATTCTCCATCTTTGTCTGTACTCCGTTATCAGACATTGTTCGTATGAGGGCAGTCAGCCTATAATAAGCTTTCGACTCGGCAACATTTGAGCTGCATCTTTCATAATTCAGCTCTTGGCTGCAAGGAATGATAGCTCCTGCTGGATAATTCTATTATCCGGTATCGCAAGCTTTGCAAAATAAATAAACAATAATGTTTGAAGTGGTGTTTTCCACATCAACCGCGCAACGCATGGCACCAGAGTGTGAGAGAGAAAAGACCCTGAGTACGAAGTAGCTATATCATTAAATTTCTATTTTACCTTAAAGTATGATCCTCCAGGGGCAGATGATGGGTGTCTGACAGTGGAACACATATATATATCAGTTCTCCTGACTTGACGGGGTCATCAAATTTGCGGATTTCCTTTTCTACCTTCCACTTGCGCTTAACATCTTCTAACGCGTCCTTAGGCGCCAACACAGCCTGAAGTTTCGTCGGGCTGCTACCGGTGTCGTGCACAGCCAAAACGATTGCACAATGACAAGCTGGATTATTTACTTCCATCCTATGACTGTTTGTCGGTGGCACAGAACTAACAGCCCTCGTCTTCGTCACCGGCTCAACACTAAACGTTTATTAAACAAATGGTGGGTTAATGATCACACCGGATACATCCCTTTGATCCATAGTTTTGAAAGTTTATTTATAACAAAAGTGAAAGGTTTGGTTGTAACTCGGGAGTAAATTAGGTTGCCAACCTATGACGACCTTTTGTAGCTTGAGATATTAGTTCTTTGGACTTTTTGCCTCAAATTTCACGCAATGCAAATTTCATGCTCAATTTATAATCTATAGCAATGCAAAAATTGAAAAATTATTGTCACAACTTTGTTACGGAGTTATTCAGCTATCATTCAAAAGCTTTGAGAAATTATTACTTCAGTTTAGAGAACGATCTTTGACATGGGCATTGTGTGTCATTCAATTTCCTTTTCTGAAAGAAAATGACATACCACCAAATCGATGGTTTCGTGACGATTTTTCGCTAACAAATTGGCGACCGGACTGGGAAGACGCCAATCGTGTGCCAGAAACCATAGCTCAAAAGCCAGTTAAAATTTAAGCAGAAGGAAATAGTCTGAGTCTGTTTTCAACATTCCAGGCCCTCCAAATTCTCTGAGACTCCCAGCCTTATCCCTAAGCCTCTTACTATATGCCTTAGTACGCGTTCTCAATACACGGTCTCGGGTCGCGCCAGATTGCCCAACCGTTCAGTCCGGCCCCAGTTTGTTGTTTAGCTTAACATAGTATTCAGGGTACGTATATCTATACAATGTAAATAAAAATCCGTAAGAAGCGCCAAATGCCTAAAATTAACATTGCCTTTTATTTAGTATTATATAATTTTCTCTGTGATTACTTACTCGGAAAACCGTTCCACCGAAAAGGAGAACTTAAGCTGATCCTTTCTTGATCGCTTAATACAAACATCGTTACTTTCATTTAAATTTAGCCATTTTGTGATTGACTCGGTTTCCTTGTGGCTACGCAACAACAGCCCATACTCCGTTGTGAAATGAATTGTTTTTCCAACTGGTACAAATTCTTCTTCGATATTAACCACGTCGCTGTGGGAGTACGTGAGCTCAACATAAACTGCTTTGAGGAATGGAGTCGTCTGACCAGAAACTCTGATGATAGGCGCATAAACTAGACTTTTATTTAAACGTATATCTTTGTTTAAGACAGCATCAGCAGGAAACAACTAAAGGTGCAAAATTTACACACGAGTATAACAAAGCCTGTTCGCTACATTCTATAATGTTCAAAGTTGTTCTTTTAAGACTGTGTGTGCCAGTAATTTTGAAAGACTGTAAAAATCTTGTACGAAATAACACAAATCACACTCATATAACGTTAATTGTCATATTAAATAATAACTTTTTAATAAAACTTAAGCTAAATAAGTAAGCAATATACCAAACAATATACTTAACAGTTATACCATGAGCTCGAATCCTATATGAGCTGATAGCCGACGAGGTACGTAGCACCGAGTCGACTATCAGCCATATACGACGAGAGCGAATGGTATAATTGTTTTATAATGAACTGTTTAATAAACGAGCAGGAGTGTTTTATTTGGTTTAAAGCCACGAGCGCGCAGCGCGAGTGGCTTTAGACTTAATAAAACACGACCTGTGAGTTTATTAATTAAACGGCTTCAAACACGACTACAAATCGACCTGTGAGTTTATTAATTAAACGGCTTCAAACACGACTACAAATTCAATAGATTTACTGCCTTATTAGCATTCTTAATATAAAGAATACTAATGATGATACGACTACAATAGATACTGCCTTATTAGTATTCTTTATATAAAGAATACTCATATGATGATACGACTACAATAGATACTGCCTTATTAGTATTCTTTATATAAAGAATACTAATTAGGAGTGTTTTATCAGATTTAAAGCCACTGCACGTGACATATTATGGTTGACATGATTTGCCAATAAGCTTATGAATTATTAATGAGTATTTGAAATATAGTCTAATAGCCATTAACTGAAGCAATAATTAATTATCCTCTGTTACAATGTCTTGACAATTTGTTCGGCCAAAAACCGCTTGGCCTTGAAAATTTGAAATACTTTTGTTTTACAACTCGAAGACAAAGTGAAAGAAATGGTTTTAGAACCGGTATATCTCACAGAAAAGCTCAGATATATTATACAGATGTTTGGTTGTATAGTAAGTGCTTGTTGACTGCAAATTCATTTGTCTTTCGTTGCAAACTTTTCTGAACAATTTATATTCTCAATGAACATGTTTTTTTCGCTGTTGTTTCGGTATTAATTATTTAAAAAACTTGTATTTAAACTAATTTCTATGTAATAAATGTATTTTGCTAACCTGTCAAATTTTTTTGAGAGTTTTTCCTTGTACTATTATCTTTCTCAAAGCGAATATTTTCCTTTTTTCTGCTTCGCAAAACTGATGTAGTTTTTGGACCGCCATCCTTTTTTTTTTTGCTACTAGCCGTATATGAGCTGATATACGGCGAGTAATTCAACCAATTAGATTGCAGAACAGCTCATATACGGTGGATGACTATATTATAATAATATATGTTTCTGTACTGTACATGTCACAACATACGAATTTTAATTTATACATTCTTTTTGACGGATACTACAGGGGGTCAACGTTTTGCAACAGGCACTTCTTTAAATGTCATTGTCGATTTTTTGTTGTTTTTGAAGCTTATATTATTGTTTAGTGGCGAAATTTTCTGCTGCACAATAATATTTGAATGCGTATTAAACTATTATGCTCAAAAACAACGGATAATTCAATTAACATTCCAATTTGTGGTTTTATGTTAACGAAACAAAAGCGTGCGCAGCGAATAAATTTCACTCACATAACGAATAAATTTTTGCATCGTCATTGGCGTGTTAATTAAATTAAACCACCTTAAGGCCCTGTCACACTGTTGCGTATCGTACTAGCGTATGCCAGCGTATGAAAAATATCACTCATACGCCGGTATACGCAGACATACGCCAGGGGTACGTTAGGCATAGGTTGTATACGTTTCAAGTACGGTCGCATACGGTGGCATACGGCGAAGCCGAAAATTTTTTTTAAGCATGTTCAAAAATTTTGTGCGTATCGGACGTATGCTTTATACGATAAGCATACTCTAGGCACACGCCGAATACGCTAGAGGTACGCCAGATGTACGGTACTCATACGCTGGCATTTCAAAGGATTTTTGTGCGTATGAAAATTATTTCATTAATTTTCATACGCTTCTCATATGTTTCTCTCATACGCAATTCCATTTACAAATGTTAATAATCATGTAAATATTTTCTCTGAAATGATGGTTTTCTAAACAACAACAATAACAGTTTATTACTCATAACAAATTATAGAATATTATTTACACACGCACGTGATTTATAACTGAATGCACCATTAAAACAGTGTTTTGAAAACCTAGATTTTTAAAAAATGTGTTCTCAGAATGCTGCAAATGCCATTTCTGGGATCCAAATTTTAAAACTTTTCCGTGCCTTCGGCACGAGCCCCCCCCCCCCAAATATTTCTTAAAGTGTTAGCGACTGTGTGTGTGTTGTACAAACTGCATGATCAGTAGGCAGTCGTACATGTTTTTAATAGGCAGGCAAGCTTTTAAACTCCCACTTGCTAGCACACTCTCTATCTTAAATTATTCTTACTCTCAATCAAAAGTTGTTAAGTAAGTTGTTAACAAGTTACGAGGCTGGTTGAAGAACTTATAACTGCTGTCGAACTTCACTAATACTAACACAGAAGGAAAAGAGGAAAATGCCCATATTTATAGTTGTTGAAACCTTCAACCAAGCTCGCATACATATTCTTACCTACACTGGAAGCAAACAGGCAACGCTAAATTGTGAAGACATTAATTCATAAGGAAGAAAACATTACCTGAACTGTTAAATTTAGTATCTCTTTCGTGACACCAGCCGGAAATGTGATCTTTAGTTCTGCATTCTCTCCATACTGCTTAGAAAAGGCATAACTTTTGTTTGTTGGTATCGAAATCTGGTCAGACTTGACTCGTGTTACAACAACTAAGGTACAAGTCTCGTGTATTGTTGCTTTGGCAAACGGCAAGCAATCGTTCAGGATATCTTTATTAGATATTTCTTTTGGAGCATCTAAAAAATGAATGTGGCTGCCATAAATCTTGAATAATTTCAGAAAGGGGAAAGGGAGATTAACAGAGAGGGGAGGGGTTGGTTTTTCCGAAACGCGGAAAATCATTACACACTACTATTTTTGTCGTGAAGGAATAGGGGGCAATTGTTCTAACATCCGAAATGATTGTAATACGGTCTCGCATTCTCTCTTGTAAATTGTTCACAAATTGTTCAAATTTCCTTAAAGATTGTAATACGGTGTCGCATTCTCTTTTTTTGAGGCTTTGATGCTTTTTACACATGCATTTTGACCAGATAACCTAACAACAGTGTTTGAAATAATTAGCAGTACCTTCAATGGAGCTTATTCGTTCCGTCTTTAACTCCTGGCAACCAATTGGGCTTAAATTTACAACGAGCAGTTCATAAAAATCCAGCAAAACCTGGTTTTCATACGCCGAGTGGGATAAAAGAACCGTCACTGGTTTCTTAAACATGACGTCTGCTGGTCCCATTTTAAGGATCCGACTTACGAAAACTTCTCCGTCTCTTCGCTTTACCTCACATTCTTTATGCCTCACTCGGCTATACGTTAGAGTTACTTGCTCGTCGACAGCTTGTGGCGGAAATATGAGGAAGGCTCTTGCTATAGGAAGTTTAAAGCATCCACCTTCCTGGTCAATGGTAATGCTAAATGAACAATAACGGAATGATCATATATACCGTAGTTCACAAAACTTATTAATGATCCACGTGCAAACGCAGGGGAATAGTTATTAATTTAAGCAGTATAACTACAGGATCTATCTATCTTCACATAAAGCTCGTTTTACAGCCTGTATACAAAGAACTCGTAGATCACTGCAAGCAGTTACATCTCATTGAAGAGAACGTGTAAAATAACGACACCGGACGAATTAAGAACCACACACAAACAAACTTGTTAACTTCATCTTCTTCACACTTTGTACAGTCAGCTGTGCTCGACTTTATCGGGTACAATTAAAAATTTCATGCAGTAAAGCCTGTTGAGTAACTCAGAGACCCCAAGGATAGACTAGTGCAGAGGTCAGATAACAAAGGCGTAATGATAAACAAGCCATAACGGCCATATTACACTGGGCGAATTTTACTGTAACTTGCAACGCAACTTCTGGCACAGGCGCAGAATCATGCTAATAATAATAATTTTAATCACCTATGAATAATTATGCTAACCGAACGTGGCAAAGCTCTATGAAACCTAATAGCCGAAGAACATATTTTGAAGCCCCCCCCCCTGTTTACTCTATCTATCCATGTCTTGATTGCTCACTCGATTGAAGTTTGAGTCCTCACAACAGTGGTCACATGACCTCTGCATTAAAAATGATCAAGTCACAAGGATAAGGGATATATTTGAAGTTTAAATTCCAAGGATTAGGAATGCTGTAGTTTATGGGTAGAAATCTCCAAATATAAGATTGACGAATCAATATGGAGATTACAAGTTATTTTTGTTGAGATGCAAACGTTCAATGCGAGCAGTTTTTTGCGATGACTAGAGAATGGGTTAATTAAGAATAGCCGCAAGCCATAGCAGTTTCTATACGAAAAGCTTAAGCTGCACCATGCAATCCAAATCATTGCGACCGAATACATTAAATTCCCTCCCCCCCCCCCCCCCTAATTTCTCAATATTTTAAATTACTACAATATGGTAATTTAAAATATTGAAAAAATTAGGGAGGGGGGGATTTAATGTATTCGGTCGCAATGATTTGGAGTGCATGGTGCAAAAGTCAAACGTTAAGTCAAATAGAAGCATTTAAATGGTTCTATTATGACCATCAATGATTACCATCAATGATTATCTAAAATGATTGATGGTCATGATAGATCATTTAAATACTTCTTTTTGACTTAACGTTTGACTTTTATGGAAACCAATTTATGCAATTAAAAAGCTTACCAATAAAAGACTTCTTTCGTTCTTTTGTTATTCGCTACTGGAATACATACCCTTCTCTGCATGCATTAAGTAGGTTACTCCGCCACTGTAAAAAGTGGCTAAATGTTCCCACAACACAACCATAGGCCTTATAATTGCAAATACCTTGGACTTATGGTTTAAGAAATAAATTTACCTGTTATCAAACGTTTGCCTACTACCTTCGATAACCGAAAAACTATATTCTGGGATATCAGAAATTGGGTCTTTGTTCTCAATTGTCAATAGACTTCGTATCAATTTCATTTGGAAACATTTGGTAGAATTCTCCACAGGCACTACAGCTTGATACCGACTTACGATGAAATCAGCAATGCCATTAAAACTGATTTCTCTCAAAGCTTCAACGATTATTTCAATTTTCGCATCTTTGCCAAGTCTTAATTTCCAATTTGTAAGCATCTCCACAGCCTGTTCGTGGGTATCACCACGGTGATCCTCCTTGATACTGCCTACACTGGCCGAAAGATCCAGCTTGCGGGCTAACCGCGGCCATCTTGTGCCTAGTTGGTCTGCAATCTCGTCCAGCAGATCTAAAAGACAATGTTTAACTCAATACAGGGCCGCCCAGAGGGGGGGGGGGAGGGGCAATATTTGTGGGATTTATTTGTGGTGGGTAGCTTTATCAGTTCTAATCAGTTCTACAGTACGTGTGCAATGATCATGAGTTACAGTACTACACACGTAAAAACGCACAATTTGTAACAAATCTGCAGCAGACTTGTAGCAATGCGAAATACGACAACCGAATTCGTGTACTACGAACAGTCCACTCAATCAAGCGTTTCCTCTGTTTTGTCACTGCCGTATTATCATAATATGACTAGCGTTCAAAAAGGTGTAAATCTGAAGAATTTTATTTATATTAAATGCCAAAGCCAAAACATTAACCGTGAACACGGAGTTTCTCTGCAGTTTGTCCCAAGCCTAATGCTGACGAACGTTATGTCTTTGGCTCCTAAGATTGACGAAATTAGTTCCTTTGTTAAGCAAGCGGACCTTGACTTGTTATGTATCACAGAAACTTGGCTACGCAACACTATATTGGACAATATTATCCAAATTCCTGATTACAATGTAGTACGTAAAGACCGTGAAAATAGTTCACATGGCGGAGTTTGTGTCTTTGTCCACCAAAATATTCATTTTAAGCATTTAGTCAAGATGCAATCTTCCAATTTGGAAGTAATTTGGATCAAAATACGACCAAGACGTCTACCGCGGACAATCTCATGCATTATTGTTGGAATAATCTACCACCCTCCCAATTCTATTCTAATAACCATATTATGTCGGAGTATCTCACTGACTGTCTTTCCTCTTTCGAAGGACATTTTCCCAACTGTGGTATCATATTGACAGGCGACTTCAATCATTTTAACACCTCACCTATTGTACGACAATTTAAGCTTAAACAGTTAATTAATTTTCCAACTCGGGGGAGTAACACTCTAGATAAAATCCTTACAAATTTGCATTCTTTTTATAAAGTGCAAATCGCCTTTCACCGTTCGGACTTTCGGATCACTGCACAATTACAATTCTCCCAAAAGAAAGAAAAAGAAAACTGCAGTCCAAAAAAGCCCGTTTAATAGCAATCACATATCATTTAGGATAAATTCTATTCGATAATTAATGCACAATTGCAGGAAACGTTTTCCATGCATCGACCACCAACACTCATTCTAGTCGTTGTATACTCGTATTTAGTTAACATTATATGAGGAACTATATTGCATTAACTCACCATCTTTCAAAATACAATCAGGAATTTCATTTAAATGTATCACAACAGACTTTCGGTACTCATTCAACACATCTGAAAAATAACAGCATGTCATCAATTACGGTTTGTGGCTATAAACTACCCCAGATTTCTGCATAGCTTATAGCCACGGTTTTGTGGCTATAAAAGTACCCCTGATTTCGGCATACCTTGTAGCCACGGTTTGTGGTTATTAGGTATGCCAGCTTTCCGGTACTCATTTCAAGTGGTGAGGGAAGACACTTGGGCTGGCAAAACCTAAGAATTTGATTCCTAATGAATTTGACACATTTAATAATCCCTTTATCAGGTCAGTCTCGCTAACCGCATTCGCCAGCCGTGCCTGCCTTTTCAACTATACCTTTCGATGGAAATAGGAGATCCAGTTGAACTTCATGTGAGCTACCATCAGTCTTACATGTTGCTCTCCGTTTTGAGCTCTGATGAACATTGAACCAGTTACACGTGAAATGATGCGGCTGAGCGGTGCCATTTTTAATACAATGTGGACAAACGGTAAATGGCACATAATTCAAGCCAGGCCATTCCTTTAACAACATTATAATTTCCTAAAAAAATTTGATAAAAAAAATTGGGCATCTCACTAGATAGAACAACAATCCTGGCAAAATTATTGTGGACAGCGCGCGCGGAAATAGAAATACCATCCTTGGTCAATATATACGTGCAAAACAGCAATGCTTAACTTCCCCCCAACCTCGTTCCCAGGCTCTTTGCTCTTGTGAAGCAAAGACCCTGGTCGGGGCTGGTCACGTGACCCATAGAAAATTGATAACCTAAGAGGGGGATGGAAAAGTATCAAATTACATGTTTCCACTTCCGCACCTCACACTTCGATTGCAAGGAGTGGCCGTTCTATACAATCATCTTTGAGAATCATATATACTTCAAAATACTTGCTAAATTGGTTTCTGTTTGCTTTTAAATTATACATGCTAAACTGTAGATTCTTATAGCAACAAACAAGTCAGAAAATCAAGCAACGAAAACGTATGATCGTATATGCTTGGAAATATTTGCCCTTTTATTATTGTCTCGCGGGGTTCGACCGCAGTTTCATTTCACGCGTACGTTTCTGTATCTGGCTCTGGTTCAGAAACGTATAATATTCTTATAATGTGCCATTGAATTGTTGTCATATGGAAACGGTATAAATTTTGTTAAATAGAGGTCTCAAAAGCGACTGTGTAGGTCGTAGGCGCTGCGCCTTTCTGGTCCTACAGCAAACGTTACATATTTGGACACTAGCCTAATAGACATTGAATGTCCATTCTATTGATTCTAAAATGGTTTATAGACATAGTGCTCTAGATTTTTTTTAAAAAGGTTATCATCGTTTATATTCAACACAAGGTAGGAAGGAGTGTTAACGTACATATATGTACAAAATTGTTTGGGATCAACAGTAAAGAATTATACGACAATTCACAACTGTATGCATTTCCTTTTTTGTCTGCACGAGTACCTGTTTGTTGAAGCCAAAATCAGATTGCACAGAATCTCCGATATGAATTATATAGCCATTGACCCTCGCCCCTTGAATGCAAAGGAATGATAGCCGAAAAGGTTTAGCAAAGTATTTTTTATTATATCTGGTATAAAGTGTTCCTACGTTTTATCAGGGATATATATGTATACATAATTCATAAACTGTATATATGCGCACGAAGTCCAGCTCATAGAATTACTTCATTAATGAGTTTTAATAATAAGCTTTTTTAAAGTTTCCATTGATAGATAGGTTGTTTGCCTCTAGTATGGTTTGGTGAAACTGCTAAAATGTCATTTATACCGTATACGATAAAGATTATTTAAAGTTGATAAATATTGATGACTCACAGCAGCATTATACAAGTCGAAAGAAGCTGTCGGGTTATTCTTCAAATATAAGGCCATATAAAATAAATTCCTTGATTCTCATCACCGCCCGACGATATTTTGGTTTCCGCGTTGATATATTTTTGTATTTTGTTATAAAATATAAATTTACCGCCCGACCGAGCATCTTCAGAGATTTAGTTATTTTTATATTTTATATTGGAATTTTTGCGATATAAAATTGTTTTATCGTTAACATTGCAACATGTTAAGGGATGCTTGGAATACTGAAGGAAAAAATGGGCTTACAGCCTTATTACAACGATTTGTGTGGACCCTTATGCATGTTCATTAGCGCATGTGCAATTATCCACTTATATAGCGTTCTTCTATGATATATTTAAGGGCAAATATAAAAAGACCTCCCTCTCCAATTTTTTAAATTTTAAACTTTTTTTTATATTTTGACATAAAATATAAAATATAAACCTCCCGCCTCCTGGGAGTTTTTAAAATTTAGCGATGAGATTCAAGGAATTTATTTTATATGGCCTAAAGCACTGAATGGGCAATGGAATGAAAGGTCTTTATTATAAGTAATAGCATGGCTTGAGGGAGATTAGTGATTAAATGGCCCCGTAACCCGAGGCAGGTTTGCGGAATTCCCGAGGGCGAAGCCCGAGGGAATTCCGCAAACCTGCCGAGGGTAAGGGGTCATTTAATCACTAATCTCCCGAAAAGCCATGCTATTAGTTTGTAATAGCATAGTTTCGCTCCCATTTAAAAATGGACAAACATGCCCTACTTGGAATCAGCGTATTTAAGCTAAAACATTTGCTTCATTGCTTGTGGGATGTAAAAGCTTGTTGCACATGCGCACTTTTTACGCTTTAATCGGTTACGCATGCGCAATCTATCATTTAACGTACCACAACAAAAACGCTAAATATATTAGTATAAAATTGGAGACTGCACGAACGTAATTTAAATGATGCGGCAACTCAGGGATCGGATGATAGACTATTGACGGCTCTGAGCTAACTGTTGCTGTTCCTTGCACGATTATGTGCGTGAGGCACTTGCCTAATGCGTAGTCGTCAGGGAGACAAAGGTGTGACCCTTGGTAACGGGCGATTAGTTCTAATCGCCCGCTCTAGCGGGCGATTAGAACTAATCGCCCGCTACAGCGGGCGATTAGTTAGTAATCGACCCTGTTGAAACAAAAGAAACCCGGGCAACTATGCTATTATAAGGTTTATAAATTGTTGTAAATTACTGTAATACACAAAATATGAAATAATTTACTATGAAGTACAATACCAGTGTCTGGTGCATATATCGTCCTAAATATTCAAGTTATATGTACCGCACGCACGGAAACGCACAGTGGAGTCTTGGTGTTCGTCTGATGACAGATAGCTATACTTCGAGTCTTCGACATACTGATCATTCTTGATCGTTGAGTTTCAGCAATGTAAATGACATTTTACAGTCCATAACGGGTTTTAATCCTGTGCTTTCACAGTCAAGAAAGCACTATTGTTTACACACAGTTAGCGATGTTTGGGAAATCTTCCATTATAAAATAAATTCTTTGGCTTTGTTGAATATCGGACAGGAAACACTTCAACCATAAACAATCATATCGTTCATTTAGTATCGTTTGATCGATCAGTCGGTATAGAATTGGGAAGACATATATGTTTCTACGGCGATGCGTGCTCAACTTCGCAAGCCAGGCGCGTGTGGAGTCCTTGGAAGTGAAATATGATCCAGCTTCTCGCTTGAAATGTACCGCAACACTTATTATTGATGACATTCAGTATAGCAGGAAGTTGTGTCATGATGAATACGAATTTAAAACTGTTCCTTTCACGATTTCTTGTTGCAAATTACATTTTTATCACCCGAAACTATAACACATAAAATTGCAATTTTCCAAACGCAACAAACAGACTCCTCTACCACCCCTCCCTGAGATCATTTCAATTTACCACGCAGAATCTGCGGGGTCACGTGACCAGCCCCGACCAGGGTCTTTGCTTCACAAGAGCAAAGAGCCTGGGAACGAGGTTGAACTTCCCCCCTCCTCCCCGGTTCAATGTTGAAAGCTTATACATTGGTTAGGTGAAAGCTTTGCGAAATGCATGTCAAGACCAACATAGTAGGGGGGAGCGGGAAAACAAAAACAGTAAATACCAACAGTAATACTTTAGTTTACGCCTCATTGTGACAGTGTCCACGGAAATTTTTCCATTATTGTAGTTGTTGAAGGGTATTGTTCATGGAAATTTCGAGTATAAATTTTGTACATTTATTAGACCTATAAACCAGAATCAGTTGCGAAAAATGAAAGTATAGGCCCTTTGGCAGGAATCAAACCTACCGCCCTGCGATTTCGCTTACATTTGCATCACCTTAAGGTGCTAGACTGCGAGCAGTCCCTCCTTGGAAGGAATGAAGGGGCTGCGGACAACACATCATCAAACGAAATACGCCCACTTTTCGGGGGAAGGTGTGGAGAAGCGCGCACCTCCCTTAAGATTATTTTACACCTCTCCTGAAATTTTTTGCACCTGTTATGAAAAGTCATGCACCTCCCCTTGGAAAGTTCATAAATACACTGATACATAATTATGTACAGTACATGTATACGTCACGTAGTTGGCTTTCCTGTACGTTCTTTGAGGGCCGTGAACTAGACCACAGCACCTCCCCCAATTGTTTTCCCATCTCCCTCACCATTTCTACCAAAATCCGGCCTTGTTTTTCGCACCGCTCCTTAGCTCCAATATAATTATTTTGGCGTTGTAACCAAGTAACTATTTATAGCGCGTAGCGTATTGTTATAAAAGTAAAAATTACACGTTTACATGCAATAAAACGATGACGTTTACGTTTTACAAGCAAAAATACAGGTCCGAATCACGTGAACCTGTCCATTTGGGACCTGACCACCATAGTGATATTTCCCCAAAATTTCACCACTCCAAGTAACTAAAACCCCCAGACCGCATCCCAACTGCATTCACTCGGGTACAGACTATGCCTCCATAAATATTCCTCCATAGGTTGACATCAGTATACCGTCGCCACACCTAGCGCCAGGCCCGGCCGTTACGCCATGCCGCGCCATTTTAACTTTATGGACCAGATCCAGTTGCTAAGCTATGTCGCCATTGAGACTTTTGGGATTTAATTTATATGACATAATTTGACGGTTGACTTTAAAATTTCAAAAACAATACATTTAAATTAATAAACTTTTTCAAAAAAAAATCTGTCAATCAACTATATCAACCAATCGGAATTTTGCGTTGTGTGGACAACGTGTATTTCGTTTCTTGATGCGTTGTCTGCAGTTCCTCGCAGGGATTGCTCGCAGTCTACCTTAGTGCATATTCATTTCCATGCCCAGACAAAGAAAGTGCTCGGAAGAACGTGTGTTTAATGCGCCCTGTGTTTAATACGCAAGTGCGTCAAAACTCTTTTCTTTGGTACCAGTTGCTTTAGTATTCTTGTTCTGGCGATGATAACTAACTTGACTGAAAAATATTTGTTTGAATATATTCTAGTTTGGGTGACAATATTTTGTCTTGTGGTCTAATGTAATGATTAAGTGCGACGCTGGAGCGGCGTCTACATCAATTAAGTTCGGCAGGCTTTGATTAAGTTCGACATGACTCGAAGATGCGACAAGACAAGTCGTATATGCGACATAGGTTCGACAGTGATTTAGACGCTGTGCTTTACATGCGCCCAACCTAATGCATAATCATTTTTTAACATTATAATATGATTATCATATATTAGCATTGTAAATATGTCCAATATAGTGTCCTCGCAATTTGGTACGGTACAATTAAGTTCGACGTCTAAATCAGTTTCCGATATTTTGCCGTATCTACGACAATTAGATTCGGCGCATGAAAAGGTCGCCGTCTAAACCGGGCCTAAGACAAGCGTGAAAACGCACAAGTTGTAACAAACCTGCAGCAGAATTGGAACAATGCAGTTCCAGCAACTTGTCAACATGATGTGTTCGCGCTGCTTGTTCCCAGCTTGTTGACAACTCGCCACAAGGTTGTTGACCTGCAATTGACCTGCAGTGACAACCTTGTGGCAACTTGATAAAACACGAACACATCGTTTTGAGATTTTTGGCTGTAAATAAGGGGAAAGACACAACGCGCTAACCATATCCACCACTAATCTTCGGAATGAAAGTAAATGTACCTGTAATAGAATGAGTAAAATCCTCCACAAAGTATCGCGTTGGTTTTTAGGTGCTCTAGCGGCTACTTTCAATGTCCCACACTTGTGCGTTAACAAGACACTGCTATGTATTACAACATCGTCAAACTTCATGTAGAAACCGTTCTGCCAGTGATCGTATTCGTCCGGCTCATGTCTATGACACAACACGCTGAATCGCATAAATACACCAGGCGGAAGATATTGTGATATGGTAAACCCTGCAGTGACTTCAACCTTCAAGAAGAAACCATGATATATTAAAGTGATCAAAAATTCAAAATTCAAATACATCCTATCTACAACTGGATGAAGATGGGTATCATGGAAAGAAAATTTAAATACAATAGACCTATACTGTAACTGGGAACAGCTGTGAAAAATGCAGCTATAGAAACCCTTCACTGACTGCAACCCTCGAAATTCGCTTCGTTACTCGTTTTTTGTATCACTTCTTTGTTCGAATTGTTGTCATCGACGTTGGGTGAACAACAGAAGATTTCATTCATAGCTACTGTACTTTACAAAATATTTAAACTTGAGCTTTTCAGCGTCGGCTGAAATAAAGAACAATCTTGATGGGTTAAAGACGGCAGGTCGAGGAACTTTGTTTTATCTTTTAGACTATCGCGTGATTACCGTCAGGTTTATTCTTTCATACAATTTATTGATAGTTACCACTAACTTTTTAAAAACATTTTGAATCAGGAACTGCCGACGTGAATGCCAAAGTAATTGCCGAAGGAATTTAAGGTGATTTAAGGTGCCTCGGCAAAAAAAATTGCCGACTGAGGCAAACTCGAAAATTGTCAAAAGACTTCGGCAATTATTTGCCGAGGCAGAAATAGTTGAATTTCGAGGGTTGCTTCAACATTGAATTATTCCCTCACCTGTTGAAGAGATTTGTAGATGGAAAGTTCGAGTGGAATTTATCTACATTTATTACATCTAACCAAGAACAGTTGCGAAAATGCAACTATATAGGCCTTCAGGCAGGAATCGAACCTGCCCCCCTACGATTCCAGTGCAGCGCTCTAACCAAATTCTGTTAAATACTGGATAACCAGAGAGACAGTTGTCGAGCTCTAACGACAAGTTCGTGTATAAATACTAAGGTGATGCGTCATGTCAATGTAAGGCGTATGGGAAAATAGTAGGATTTGGGACATCTCACTCGATATAGCTCATTGCTGAAGGAATTTGTAGGGTCTAATAAATGTATAAAAATTCCACTCGAAATTTCCATCTACAAATTTCTTCAACAATTAGTTATATCGAGTAAGATGCCCAAAATCAGTGGCGTAGCTAGCGAAATTCGACAGGTCCTGCTCTAAAACTCACACATTCTAGGGGGGTTCGGGGGCATGCTCCCCCGGAAAATTTTTAATTTTACAAGTCTGGAATGGCCATTTCCTGCGATTTCACGGCGAAATACTCCAAAGAGAAGATCAAAAAATTGTGTGATTTAGTGGAAAATTTTTGATAGTTTTTGAAATCGTATTTCCATATTTATCATATTTCACTATACATTTTTCAACTTAAAAATTTAGCTAAATATAGTCAAGTCATGTAAGAGGAAAATATCATGTTTTCAATACACGTCTGTAATATGATCTCTCACTTGGTCAACGTGCAATGGCGTAACTCAACAATTGTTGTGGTGCCTGTTGAATTTACAACACTATATATAATTGGCTAGCATTCGTTAAAAAATTACTAATGTGTTAATAAACTATATAAAACGGAGTGGTATCAACTACGAGTCTACGAACCACTACGCTTGGCACTCTGATTGTATAATTCAGTACGCTATGCGTATGGTTAAGATGGTATTATGCGTATGGCTATGGTATTTAATAAAATTGCCGTAGCGTTTAAAGTAAATATAGTGTAAAATGCGGCCAAATATCTACATAAATAACATAAACTTTGTAAATCTAAATTGGTAGCTATATCATTTTTAAACTCCATATTAAGCGCTCGTGTTTCATGCAATGCGTAAAGCAGATGAACTACGTTCATACTTTATATCAATACAACACAAAATACACAATCGATTCTGTTGACATGCATTTCGTGAGCTACAATATCTTAGTAGCCAGAAATTATATCCAAATCACAATGGGTTTCCACGCTGGTTGATTTCCATATTCATCACGATGGTTGATTTTCATATTCACCACGCGGAAAGCTCGCAAGAAAAGACAATACAAGACCAAGTCCTGCCATTTCCAGAGAGCAGGACTTTGCATTTATAAACAGCCGGTTTGAGCATGCGCAGACCTAATTATCCAATCAGAAACCAAGATTTCTTGTATGAATTTACTATGAAATATACTAGCAAGTCCTGCCATTTGAAACTGGCAGGACCGAAACACGAGCGCGTGTAAATCAATATATTGCCCGGAAATGAGTTTTTGTAGAGTTGCAGTTGCTAGGTAACAGACACGGCAAGCTGTAAAATTGTGTAAATGTAATAGAATAATAGAAAACTTTTAAAAAATAATAACGAAAAAGATGAGAAAATGATACAAAATAGCAATATAATAACAATAAATTTTTAAAGCTTCAAGATAAATAAAGTAATGTTTTAGTAAGGAAATTTGGGAAAATTTTTAGTCCTGCTGGGCAGGACAAGCAGGACCGCTAGCTACGCCACTGCCCAAAATGCTGATGTTATTCCTTCACCTACCTGTCTAGCGTTAGCACGCGGTGGCCAGTTGTTTCTCATTGATCTAGGACGTTGAGGGCTGAAGAACCATGGTATTAAATAACATGGAGGAGGAGGGCCTCCATCAGCCGTATAAAGATCATTGCCCACTGCTGGCATTTCGCATGCAAAACCAAAGTGAGTCAACATCATTAATAGCTGCGGAAATATCGTGTCGGATTTCTTCAGAAATTCTGACCAAACACATCTGGGAAATAAAACGCACAATATATTAACTTCGACTCTTAGACAAATGATAATGATGATGATAGTGGTGGTGATGATGATGATAATGATGATGATGATGATGATGATGATGATGTTGATGATGTTGATGTTGATGATGATGATGATGATGATGATGTTGATGATGATGATGTTGATGATGTTGATGATGTTGATGATGATGTTGATGATGATGATGATGATGATGATGATAATGATGATGATGACGATGATGATATAACACAGAAGTATGAAACTTACCTAAGGAGAACTTGTGTCATGACGCCATTGTTCAATAATTCCTCCTTGTCTTGTTCAAACCGGAATGGAACTATATTCAACTTTCGAACGCTCTCGTCGAACGTGAGTTTTTCTTTCATATCATGTCGGAAGATCTTTTTCAACAACAAGCCAAACCAGTATGGATTGATGACTACATTTTTCACCAAACCATGGATGCCCTAAGAAAGAATTTTGTGAACTAAGTTAGTTGGCTAGTTAATTAGTCAGTAAATTGATGGCTAGTTAGTTAGTATTTGCATTGGTTCGTTGGCTACACATCTAGTCAACAAGATATGTTCGGCAACAATATTGTAGTTGACAACTTGTAAACAACTTGTTGAACTTCAAGATGATGGCAAGTTGTTGGAACAAGATGTACAGATCTGCACACAAGTTGTAACGAGATGATTGCCAAGCCGACATCAGGATGTGTTTGATTTGTTCCCAGTTGTTGTGACAAGTCTTGTTATCATCTTGTTACAAGGTTGATGACGGTAACAGGCTTGTTGCAACCTGTCTTAACAAGACTAATACATATACTGTTCGTAACAAGTTGCTACAAGTTGTTACGTGCGCACGATATCAGTCTTGTTCGAACAACTTGTTACAAGTCTGTTAGCCTCGTTGATGATCTTGTTATAAGATGATAATAACATGTTCCAGACTTGTCAACTACTGGGGAAAAACAGCGCGAACATATCTTACTAACAAGTTGTGAGATTTTTGCGCGTGTATAATTGAAGATTTGTTCGTTAGTTAGTTGGTTGGCTGGTTAGTTGAGACGGAGGAGCTATAGACTTACCTTGAAGTACTGTAGTTCACCGATTGCATCAAGATAACTCACACAAGAGTGTAATTCACACTCAGAAACATCAATTCCCTGCTCTTTTAGGACCTCCTGCAACTCAGCTATAGACAAACATGGTATATTGCCAGTCTTTCTACATTTCTTTATCGCTTGTTCTATGTTCACCCATGATTCAGGAAGGTTTATATCAATGTTTGGAGAAAGATTCTTGTTTCTCGCAATTCTGACTAATTCGCGGCGTAAGCCAACCATGCCTAACTCGAGAAATTTGTTGCTAACGGGCGTCACATTCATAGCTAGACTATCGTTGAAGTTGTCGTAATTTACCACCTGAAAAATTAACGAAGAAAAATTAAATTTTAAAAGATGTAATAAAGACATGAAAAATGTAACAAAGCCGTTGGGGCCAAACCTCTAATTAGAATAATTTGAATCTGCAACTCATTAGAATAATTACAATATTTAACAATTATTCGCCGAAGGCGAGGTAATTATCGGGGAATAATCGCCGAGACGAAGTCGAGGTGAATATTCCCCGATAATCACCGAGCCTGAGACGAATAATTGTTTTATAGGCCGTATTCTGTGGCCGCTTATCGTTCAGTTCCGCTGTCCCCATTCGGGGACTACTTTTAGTTTACATAAATCTATAGATTTTGATACGCTGAGTACGAATTCAGTTGTTGTAACTCGCACAAACCTGCAGTTTTT